AGCATCTGGTTCTAATGGTGCGGTTGGGCATGCAACTGGAATTCGTGGTGTTAGATTGTGCGTGTACCACTGCCCTCTTGTTAACGTAAGGTGAGATTTGTGATAGTGTCACCATCTAGTGGCTGGCCCCGATAAAGGACACAGGCTTGATTGAACTAACACAGTTGATGTCTTTGCATTTCAGTTGGGAAAAAGAGCTACTACACATGTAGTGGCTCGTGTGTTCCTGGATGAAATTGGTAATTACAAGTCTTTTCACCATATTGTTTCCTCAGCTTGGCAAATACTTGTCTTAATCTCACATGTCCACTTCCCTCACATTGGTCATTCCCTGTTTGTCTACTCCTTGCCTCGTGAAAAGAATGCCCTGTGCTATCTCAGCTGTAAAGGCAGTGTCCTTGTCTCTTCATATCTTACCTTGAGGCCTATTCTTCCATGAATCCTTGAGAAAATGGCCATAGAGTAAGGGATAAAGTTAAAGAGTACTTGAGTTAGATATGTGTGCATTTGGGCAAATAAAAGTGTGTGTAGGGCCTTTTTCTCCTATGCCCATTCTGATTTGTTTGCCTTTTATAAGACCTCATGCAGTGACATTTGGAAAAAGATGTAAGTGATTTCTGTGTATACATGGACATGCAGATGGTTTGTACCACGCTAGATATGCCAGTGAAATACAAACCATTAGCTGCTTGCACTATACTAGTCCTGTGGCAAATCTGAGCCATCTCTCTTTTCCTAAGCACTAAGCTAGTTTACATTTTAAAAAAAAAAAAAAAAGGCAAGGGAAAAGAGATAAATACATTAATCATTTGTGATACAGCATTAGATGTATTTCTTGAATCCTCAAACACAGCAGGTTGTTATTTTCTTAATAATTTTTTTTTTTAGAATATCAACTAAATACCCGGTTTTCTTTCTCTCTGTTCTCTCCCTCATTTTTTCAATCATGTCAAATGTTGAGAAGCAGTGCACATGTTTTCTCCTCTTTGAATCATGGTATGGCTGCCATGCTTATCTTACCAAGATTTATATCCTCATCTAATTTAACTTTTCATAAATAATTACAAATCACTCATGAGACCTTGCCAACTGCTCCAGTCCCACAAAGTGACCCGACCTGAAACCTCAAAGTACTGAGAAACATTCATCTCGGAGTATTTTCATAGGCAGTACTTCAAAGGAATTGTGGTTTAAAAATATGCAGCTATTTTGGTGACCACTTGTGTGGGATAAAGTTTCCCATCAGTAATAGCAGGACTGTAATATAGCTTCAGGGAGAAGGAAGGAGTTCAGGGGAGCAGTCACAGCACCTTTTGCCTCATTCTGCTGAAGCAGTAGGAGTCCCCAGAAGTAAACAGTTGACTTCGTTAATGTAATACGGACTGAATTTGCAGCAGAAATACTGTAAATTTCTGATGCTTTGCAGAGGGTGAAAAATTCCTCTGGCAAGTATGCATGGCCCCTGCTCAGTTAGGAACAATGTTCTTTATCTTCTGACCAGGTGTGAAGAGTGGTCCAGCAGTAGAACTGGTGAGCGGCAGTTTGAAGGAGCAAAGACAGGAATTGGGAAACATGTGGCTGCAGATCTGCAACTTGGAGCTCTGTTCTGGGCAGATTTACAAGTGGCTGTCATGCGTGGAGGCTTAGGGTGATGAAGCTGGATATGCCAGAGCAAACTCTGAGCAGTCCTGTCCATCCAGCGTTTCTCTCCAGTTACCCAGATGCATCTAATCCTCAGGGGGTGGGAATTTAGCCTCACAAAATACAGTGGGTAGACTTAAGTTGGAGTATCCTCTGCTCCTTGGCTAACAGCTTGACTTTTCCTTGAATGTGGGAAAAATGAGGCAGGGTGGGTTCTTTGTTCATTCCTAGCTTTTTGGCAAAGGAAGGAACTTACCTAGAAAAGTTACCATTTGGGTGATAAAGGCAACTTCTCTGAGATATAGAGGGCTTTGACCCATTTACAAAAGGCTTGAAGTGACGGCCCACACTAAGGTTTTTCGTGGGTTTTACTAGGTGAATTTGCTAGGACCGTTGTTCTTTAACTTTACTGGGGAACAATAACATGAAAATACAGATCCTTCCACCTGCTTGCAAGGGTAGCGTTAGTTGAAATTGGGATGCTGTTACGTGCTAGTGTAGATGCGCATTTTGAATCTTTGGTCCTGTGGTGAAACTGTTGATTAGTCCATAAATCAAAATTGGTTTTTTTCTGAAGTGGCTGTGCTACTCTAACTAGAAGTTAAAGGGCTGCCAAGCTAGCAGTGAAGTACATGAAGAAAATGAGTTTGTAGCTATTTTGTCAGCAATTGGGAATGTGCCTGTCGTCTTTTATGCTAACCGTGTTCTGGTTTGGAAACCCTAGTGTTTTGAAATACTGCCTTTTAGTGTGCTTCTTATCATTGTCAATAAGATATCATTGTTGATTTCTCATGTGTTGGGCAAACACCAGGTTTTTCAATTCCAGTGTATCAGATATGCAATAGATGGAGATAAGACTTTTGACACCCTTTGCTATAGACTCCAGCATTAGTGAAGTGCCCTGGAATTTCACAAAGCCATAAAGAAATTATGTTCTTTCTCATTGACCCTTAGGCAGCCTGGTTTTTGTAGCTTCAGTGATGGTGGTGATTGGGGACAACAAATGGCAGAACTTAGTTCTTTAAAGATATTTGTGGTCCTCAAGGACATGCTTCAGTATAGCTACTAAATTTTGAAGAAGGGTGTAAATCGAAGTCCGAACAACTTGTTAAATAGAAGAATCAATAAAATTGTACTGGCTTTTACTGCCATTGGATAATAGAATTTTGAAAAAAAAAAATTAAGAATGAAGTTCTACACTCAATAAATGAAGGTTTTGTTGGTCCTTTGAATCAAAGCCAGCAGGACTGTCTTACCTAGTTTAAAATTTATTTAACAAGTCTGGCTGAAGCACAGGATATAAATCAGAGCAGAGTGAGTTTGTCTTCATTTCACACCATCCTCATGGAACAAGTTCCAGGAACTGGTGTGATAAGTAGACTTGTCTCTTCCTTTAAATCTGTTCTTCAGATTATTCGGAAAGCTGGGACAAGTTTTTGCCTCATTACTTTGGTTTAGGTAGTGAACAAAAACTTAGCCTCATCCTTTTCCTATTTTCTACAGGTGTTTGAAACCTAATGAACTAAGAAGCAACAAAGTGCTTGTTTAATGCTCTATATACCTAGCAAAATGGATCCCTGAACTTTGTTGCTGCTTTTAGATAGTGCTGTTAATGCAAATAGTAACTCGTTGGGTTATTCCTGCTTGCAAAGGAGTACCTCCACCTCTTTGTCTCCTTTCCATGCCTTCCTGCTTTTTAATGAATTGTTTTCTGTGATGCATTAATATGATACATTCAGCAAAACACAGATGAAATGCTGCAAAAGATTGCTGTGAAAGCAGTACCTGTGTCCTGTGCAGGGAGTTATGATCAGGACCTTCGTAGACTCAGAGGAAATGATGCATGGGGTCTGTTTTAGTTACTGGATTTCAGTAGCCTGGAACCATTGGACGATATATTCAGCAGAGTTGCGTTGTTTGCAATGGTGTACTGATATAAGCTTTATGCAAAAGTATCTGATATCTCCTCTTCCACAAAAAAGGGACTTCTGGGGGATTTATATATAACTACTACATTGTCAGTTATGTTATGAGTATGTTGCATTCTTTGGATTATTCTACTGGAATAATTTTCATAGCCCTTGTAATCAGAAGCTTGATGAATAAGATTTTGGGTAAGACTTGCATGGTTATATTGTAGTTTTGATGCTTCTCTTGATTGATGGAATTTTGAATTCCTTGTTTAATTTTTTTGTCCTGTTGTTTGTATGAGTGGCATCGGGGGTACAGGGTTTTCTAACAGTGATCCTTATTCTTCCCAGGATTGGTCTTCTCCAATCTCATTTCCTGGAGCCCTTGTAAAAATTAAGCCACTTCTGGTGCTTGTATAATGTGATACGATTGTTCTAGGGGAGTAGACTTTAGCTGAATAATGCCTGCCCTGTCACTAAGCTTTGCTCCTCTATTGAGATGAGCAGGTGATTGCAGAACTTTTTCGAAGAGGATTCATGCAACAGTAGTGTTTTTTTTTGTGGAATGCCCCAAAAATAGATGAGCAGAAGAGCTCTTCATTAAGCACTGATTGTAAACTACCCACTAGATCCATCTGAGGGACCTCAAAAACCTTATCTACAATGGCTTGGGCTCAGTTATCGTTGCTGTGGTGCGTCTGTGGTACAATGGAGATATCTGTGTCAGGCTGGATGCTGCGTGCACGCATGCACACACACTGCCCCTTAGTATCCATGAAGAAATGAAGTGCAGTGTGCATGAGGTTTGATGGATCGGCTTTAGTTTGTCTTCGAGGTGGCTTCTGGCTGGCCTGGCAGCTTTCACTGTGGGTTTGATGGTTGCTGAACAATCTGGTTTTGCACAGTAGCCTTTTGTTCAAGGGAGCCATTTGTTGGGAGTTTTGTGGTATCTGAAAGGTGGCAGCTGTAGTGAAGTCCCCAGATACGGGATATTCCAGTGCGCTGTACTGTATTGTGGTTATTGGGAAACAGAAGCTGCATTGGGCACCCAAAGAATAATTTAAAAGTAGTATCTTGTTGAACATCATTCCATATGTTGAGAGTTAAGACATGAAATATGAACTTCATCCCAGTGGCTTGGTGCAAAGATTTTAACCCGTCTTGGTCCCAGCTATAGTTTGCTTTGCAGATTTCAGTGAGATTTCAGCATAAATAGTGCTTGTTCTTATTCTTCACACAGAACAGGATTTCCTCTAAATAAATACTTGCTTGGTATCCCATTTTACATGCCTTCGTTGTGTGTGAGATTTAGAATAAATTGAGAGGAAGGTTGGCCTGGAGTTTTGTTTTATTTTACAGAGTAATTTATCTAGGTGGCTTTTTTGAAGTGGAGGGTCTACCTAAATGTTGTGTAAAGTTGTTCATAATTTGTTTTATTTTTCCTCTCTTATGACAGTGATCCGAGCTAAAGTTGTGGGGAAGAAGCTCATGAAAGATGGACCATTTGGAACTATGCGATACACAGTCAAGCAGATGAAGGTATGTTTGCAGACACTTCACATAGGCTTTATGATATGATAATGATTCTAATTAACATGTAATAACAAACAGAGTTTACATACTTAAAGTAACAGCACCTCAACTTTTCATATTGGTCAGCCGGAATGGAAGGTAACCAGCAATTGGTAGAAATTTGCCTGGAGAGGGAAACGGAGCAGGAGGAGGTCGTTCCTGACATACAATGCTGAATACCTGAATTCTTCCTTTATTTTAAACATTTCTGGTAATAAAAGATGCCAGATGGGCTTCTCTAGATACTGGAGTCCTGTTTGTGTTCAACATACATGGTGTTAGACTGTGGAAATGCAAGCTCATCTATGCAGCACTTTCATTAAATTCAAGATGTGGTGGTGGTAGGGGGTCTGCCGGCCTTTGGAGAGTGGTCTTTCATCTCTTATTTGCTTGCATTCTTTGTGACCACCAGTTAGAATGATGGCATTTTTTTCCATGTACTGAACAAATGAAACTCATGTAGTGAAGTCTTTATATAAAGCTAAACCAAACACTGTAGCTTTCAAATAAAGAAGAGCTGTAAAGTATTGACTCCGAGGTGAAAAGAGGTAGATCTCCTATACCAGTTGCTTGGCTTTTCTAGTTCCTCTCTTCAGAGCTCTAATTCTTCGCTGCACAAACTGCACTCAACCTGCTGCTTTGGACCTTTTTTTTTTTCTTAAACTGACCCCCTTGTTATGTAATGCTAAAAATCAGCCCTAGATTGTTTTTCTTGGCTATGCCATTCCAGTCATAAGACTGGTTTATGTCTTTAAAAAAAAAAGAAAGGGAATGGAAAAGCTTGGCAGAGACTGTAGAAATCTGAAACATATTAGACAAAGTAAAGGTTCAGAAAAAAACAGTCACTTGCCTGCCTCTTAACAGTAACTCTCTTTATAAGGCAGTTTACAGCTAAGCACGAAAGCTGGGAGGAGGAGACGCAAAGCCTGTTTCATAAGCTGTCGCAAAACCACACACGTAGCCAAATCTGGTCCTGGCATGGCTCTTCCACTAGAGTGGAATGCTTGCACTTTGAATAAGAGGGTGTGAGGTGCTGCGCTTACTAACTTCCTTAATCTTAAAAATTTATTTTTAAGATTCAAAAGGAAATACATATTTTTGTTAATTAACTTGTATTTGTAAAAAAGGCAACTGGCTATATTGGCAACAATGCTGCCACTCTCTTTTTTTTTTTTTTTAATGGCTATCGCTGGCCTCATCAGGCTTGCAGTGCTCTGTGCAGTTCTTGTCCTGCTTTGTCACGCTCCGGCGTAGCCAGTATACCCCACTTCACAAAACTACTCAATGTCCACATGCTGCAGTGGCTTTTTTTTTAATGGCTATCGCTGGCCTCATCAGGCTTGCAGTGCTCTGTGCAGTTCTTGTCCTGCTTTGTCACGCTCCGGCGTAGCCAGTATACCCCACTTCACAAAACTACTCAATGTCCACATGCTGCAGTGGCTTTTTCTGCTCCTGCAGTGGCTTCTTCAGCTCTTTTTTTTTTTTTTCTTCGATTTTGTCTACATCTGTTCAGGACCCCTACTTTTTCCTCCTACTCAGTTCCAAAAGTTTGGTGCTTCCTTTCTAACATATGACCATGAACAGGGTCCAGTGGTGATCTAGAATAACAGAAGTCCCCAAAATGAATTATTACCCTTTACCAACCATAACGTTAGCCTCTCTCCTAACTAATGATACAGCCTGCCCCGTTGTCAGCCAGTGAGCTGCAGTGTCAGAGATCTCTGGAACAGCATTAAGCATTCCTCCTCTGATCTGGGAGTTTGCAGTAGTGTCTCTGCTATGAATAGAAAAGGCTTCTATGTGTCTGCTGGCATGGGGAGGAGCATAAGCCCAGGCAAGGTGAGCATGTTGAGTGGAGCAGCAGCTACTCTACCATCATGATTGACACCATTGTGTCAATCTTTAAATAAGACGCCTGAGCCTGTCCTGGCTGTTTTCCTTGGCTTATTCTGCAGCACAGGGCCAGGGTGTTTACAGCAGATGCTGCAGTAATCTGCAATGTCCTCATGCCGAGACCACAAGAGAACAATTGCCTTTTTGCAGGAGCAGTTCCACAGTGTTTTATTAGGAAGCTACATGTCCAACAAAAGTAAGAGTGATTTTAAAGGGGAGATCGTGTGTTGGTCATGTTGTCTATACCTGCTACATAGATGGTGGGCTGGTGAGATGTTCCATTGCACATTTGACTGTGACCTTTGGCAGGAAGGAACCTGAAGCAGTCAAAGTGCTCAGTAGAACTGGAATGTCCGGAGAACATAGTTCTTGATAAACAAACAAACCAAGTGTCTTTTTTGAAACCCTGCTGTCTTTCTGCTGAGCTTAGAGACTTCGGTATAAAGAGGGATTCAGCTCCATGCAGTGAGGGAGTTCAGAGTGATGCAGCAAATCTCTCCCTTGCTCACCCCAATGAAAGCTGACTGTCCGCCTGCTGAAAAGAAAACTAAGGAGGCCTATGACTCTGCACAGCTGCATGGGAACAACTCTGAAGATAAAACTAACATGTCAGTGTTTTTTGGCCACCTATAAACCCATCTGCACCTGCAGATGAAAAATAAACAAGCCATTTAGTCTATCAGTGTGTACTGAATTGCCTGTGAAAAGCATTGAAAGCCTTGAAAGGCAACAAACAAATCTTTGTATTTCTTTCATTGGTTCCTTGGAGTTCGCTGTGGCTGATTCTTGCTCTTACTAACACTCCTGAACTCGTTGCTGAATTTCGTAACTAAACCAGCCTGGGGCCTAGACTAGAGCACAAGGTCAGCCCATGGGCACAGAACAGCGCCAGGCTTTCTAGCATTCAGGTTTGTTGTCTGAAAAGGCCTTGTGCTTTTCCAAGCACCCCCTGCCTTACCCCACTGCTTTCTCAAATAATTTAAGAATATCTCAGGATCACGTGTCAGAAATCTGCACAGGACTGATCTAACCCCTGCACGTTCTGTGATGCTGCAGTGCATTCTGAGAATGGCCCAAACCTATTTCAGGAAACTGCAAAGGAAACAAGGAGATAAGATATTTCTACTCCATGTACACAAACAGTCCTGGTTGACCATGGCAGCACTCTGCACGGGCTACCAGAAGCAAGGAGGCTTTCCTTGGTTTGTTGCTAATCCGTAAAATGCGTCAAAGGGGTGAAACCTGGTAGTCCCAAGAGGAAAGAAGTGGGGTGGGATTAATTTAGTTTAATTTTAGACAGACTAAAACGGGGTGTTGAGTCTTTCCTGCTCTCTTGATTGTCAGTGGAGAGAGACAGGAACCACTAAAATGTAATTCAGCCCACCAGTTGTAGACAGCTATTTTAGGATGGGCTGAGTTGTTCTGGAGGTGCCCGTCCTTGGCATTTGACTAGAGAAGATGCCTAATTCATACGAAGTGCCTAAATTTTAGGTAGCTAAAGGTTAGGCAAGATGACTCCAAGCCTTGGTATCTAGTGCGACCTCACATGGGAGGGAGGAACATTGTATTACAGGGTGAAGTTAATCATGCAGCAGGAACCACCACAGGATTTGCATGTGCATTTCTGAGGCAGTATGGGGGCTGCTAAGGGGAATGCTGACACAGCTGGAAATAGAGCAGCACTAGCAGGCACCACCATGTGACGCTTGCTAATACTTTGTTCCCTGTCATTATGCTTCTGAAAATACACATTTGTGGCGACAGGAGGACTCCAAGGGTAGCAGTTAGGAGAGAGGCTAGCTTTATGGTTGGTTTTCTTCTGACTGGTCTAATAGCACTTCCAGGATATTTTGTGTATCCAAAAATAATGCTTAAGGTATTGTTTATTTGTTTTGAAAGAGAGCATCCGTAGAAGATTCCCCCTTGCCAAATTTTCTTTTTCCTCCCCTGAGAACCAAGATTGTGCTGAATTTTCTTTAGTCATCAGAAGATGAGGCAGGCCTTTTCTGCCCCCAACACTGGGTCAATTAGCGTGGCAGTTGCTAGCATTGATGAGGGTCACTGAGGAGTGAGATGAAGTGCTTTTTGAGAGGCTGAGCATGCTTCCTTCAGCAACCCTGACAGTGCTGTCCCTGATGGTAAAGTGAACAGGAAATTAGGTTCAGGAGTCAAAAACCAAACCCCAGTTCAGCACCACTAGTTATTTCATAGGCAGTCATGTTGAGCTTGATGGTGCAGAAGATGCGAGGAGTGATGACTGTAAGGGTCCTGTAGGAAGGGCCTGAGCACCTTCTCAGAGGGAGTGATTAGTCTAGCTTGTAGCCCTTTCTGTAAGGGGGAGAATGGGCTCAAAGTGTGCCTGTGCACATGTAGACTTTATAGCACAGATATTTAATTAGCCCGACACTTCTTGGAGCTTAGCACTCTGAGTGACAGATCACTTGTGCTGCACATGCACAGCATTCAGCTCTCTGCAGTGTAGATAATGCACTGCCTGGAGAGACTGGGCAGCCCCAGCTGTTATCTTAGCTAGTTTTATCTGTTTAGATACTGTTATCATAGCTTCTTGGTGTGATGCCCACTAGAATGGGGTCTGAACGCGGTACCCTTGTGAAGCAAGGCAGAGCTGTTCTATGGAGGAGGAACAAAAGTGTACTGAGGGCTAAATAACTCATCCAAGGACAGACAGGATGCTCGTGCCAGAACCTAGATCTCCAGCTATCTTGAGCATATTGGAAAATCTGAGTAGATCATCCCATTCCAAGAAAATTGCAGGGATAAAGTAGGCATTAGGCAAGGTTCAGTTCTTACATACTCATTGAAAGACTTTGCTCACTCATGGACACAATGGTGTATTCCAAACATGATCTGTGAGCTGTTGTTGGTACAGTATGATTGATTTTAAAAAATGCTTTCCTTGCCTATTGCTGGGTGTAGAAGGAAGGCTGGAAAATGCAAACCCTTTAGCATGTCTTTTACTGTACACAGCAGGGCTGTTACTGAGGTGTGATACTGTTGTAAGATTATGCTGGTTGGGGTGATATAAGGAGGAAAAAAAACCTGGCAGACATTCTGTGGATGCCCAGAAGATAGTTTGACCTCTCAACTCAGCAGAATTAGTAGTAAGTTTTTTTTGGTTTTTATATGCAGTATACGGGCCTAGCATAAAATCCGTTAAATCAATAGACATCCTTTCACTGACTTCATAGAGGTATGAATCAGGGCCCTAACACCAGAAGGAATAGCACAGATGAATTCTGTAGAAGAAGAAGGTTTGTTGTTTTTAAAGGTGGGGGAGGCCAGGATAGTGAAAGAATAACAAATGGGGACACCCATATCCCATACCCTGGATAATAGGGGACTTCAGGAAATAGAATACAGCATGGAGGAGAATGCCACTGCTCAGGTGATACAGCAGCAAGGATTTATATCTCTGGGATTGTTTGGGATTTTTTTTCCTCTTTTGCCTCACTTTAATAGTTACAGTTAAACTGAATGTGAATGTGCTCTCTATCAATAAAGCTGACAGAGAAAAGGATAGGCTGGGAAATGCTTTGAAACTGTGATTCTCTCTGACACCTATTGTTTTCCTTTAACTTTTAAACATTGGTCATTCATACAGTTGGTGGGGAAGAGAGGGAGACTGAATACATTGAAAAGATAACCAAATTTTAGAGATGAAATTTGGAGGAAAATCATCCTCAATGTTTCAAAATTAGGATATGTTTTATTGGGTCCAATGTATGCATGCAGCGGTTTTTTCGTTGCTATGCACAGACTTCATAATGCCACTAACAGGTGTGCATGAGTTTCCCTAAATTGCAGCGGTAAGGTCAGATCAGATAGGGACACGTGGTAATTTCTGACTGAATCCAACTGCCAGTATATCTGTGGGTTCATATTTCAATTAAAATGAACTGTATGTTGGCTTCCACTTAAGAAAGATTATGAAAAAGGAGAAGGAGCATAGAGGAATTATGTGTACATGGTATTTTCTTTATGGTGCCCACCAGTACCAGGCTAATTTTAGGAGATGGGGTAAAATTCTGTTTCTGCATTCCTTTAGTTAGGGAAATACTAAATCCTTGCTGAGGTCAGCAGGAGCTGCATATGCTAGGCATTTGAGAAGGAAGTGTCTGGCTTGATGACTTAGATCAAGCGCCAAAGGTTTGAAACTCTTACAGCAGCAACACTGGAAAATAGGGTCATTGTTTAAAAGAAAAATCCCTTAGTTTGGAAAAAATGGTTTAAATCACATGAAGGAGAAAGATTCCAAACTTGAAGTAATTTAATTTCTCCCTAATTATGAGCTATATAAAGAAAAAAAATTCTTTGGGATGTTGGCAGAGCTTCCAGTGTTGGCACTTTGCTCACTCAGTGCCACTGGAACTAATGTGAGTGGGGAAAAGTGGTCCCTGTGCTGAATTGCAATGGCTTGTTAACAAGTGGGTGTTCTCTAGCTGCAGATCTGGTAGGGAGACTTGCATCAGAGTCCAGCTAGTGCCGTTAGTCCTTCACCCTTGTGAAAACTAAAAGTTCACTGCTTGCCACCACAGTCTAGGAACATATATTGTAAAGAATCTAAGTGAAAAGTCATCATCTTAAGATGACTTAAAGCATTTTTATTTGTTTCTCCAGATGTACAAGGGCTTCCAGATAATGCCACATGTTCAGTACATCTACACAGAAGCCTCTGAGAGTCTTTGTGGAGTCAAGCTGGAGGTCAACAAGTACCAATATCTGATTACAGGTAAAGGACAGTGTACTTCTTCGTAATCAAAACGTCTTCTGTTCTATACATACACCTGCTAAGGACATGGGCAGCTGTGTAGACAGCTCAATACGCAGCTTCCCAAGTGTTAAGATGGCCAACAGTATTTTGGTGTTCAGTATTCTTTAATGCTGAAAGTCATTTCACTCTCTGGATTTCCCTCTCTTTCCTAAAGTATCTCTTATACCTAGCCCTGTTGTGACAAATATGCTGTATGACAGTCCACAGCTGTCAAGTCATACCTGAGCTGGCATGTCTGTCACAGGGAATTGGTTGCTACTGAGCTGCGCTAGAAATGGAAGATCCCTTTCGGAATGAGCTGGAGAAACGCAGGTTGCTGAGATGGGGGGATGCAAGGAGATAGAGATGTGGCAGTTGCCAAGTCTTGTTTCTAATGAAGGTGTCAATTCACTTAGTTTTGCTCTGTTGTTGAGGGGAGCTTGACAGTATTACTCACCTGCATGTTGTTGCTGGTGCTTACAGCTGGAACAACAGTCCTAACTTACAGAAGTGCTGTAATCTTGCTGGCCAGAGATTCCTGAACCAGTTAATAAAAAGAAAGCAGTTGCTGAGCAGTGACTGAAGCCAAACATATTGAAAGCATTAGCAATCTCAGGAAACGAGAAAAGTGCTTGAGCTGAGAAGTGCTAACTTGTGACCATGTCTCTGTTTTCAAGGCCGCGTGTATGAAGGGAAGGTTTACACTGGCCTTTGCAATTGGTATGAGAAATGGGACCGGCTGACTCTGTCCCAGCGTAAAGGACTGAATCATCGTTATCATCTGGGCTGTGGATGCAAGGTATGTGCATCTCTAATTAGGTAGCGTTAAGACATTCAAACCCTAGAATTCTGTTTCCCTTGGCTGGTAGTACCAATGATGCTGGTGAACAGCCAGGAAGAGAAATGGAGGACAACAATTTTTACAGGGAAAAAGTAAAGCTCAGCTTTAGTATTGAGACCAGAGAATAAAAATGCAGAGTCTATGCCTTTTTAATGTCCTGTTGGAGTTAATTGGGGTTGGGGAAGGCTTTCAGAACCCACGCAGAATAGCTTGCAGGTGAATGAATTCAGGTACCAGAGGCTTGGCAAGATACGTCCAGCTTTTTTCCTATGTAAACATTTTGAGTGCTTAAAACCTCACAGCCTGGCACTGGCACTAAGATTTTTGCTCATGGCCTCAGGCCTGCAAAAACATAGACACAAGCTCGACTTTTCTGCACCTGAAAAGCCCTTTTGACTCTGGAATTACCTGTGTATGTGAAGCTAAGCACGTGCTTACCGAACTGAGGCTGAATTTTGGGTTAGTAAGCAAGGTTGGAGGGAGTGGAATTTTGAATCCCTTGTCTCTGGTAAAAAAGACATTTTATATAAGGTTGTTTTTTCATGTAGCCTTACCTGATTGCTCTTTACAATTGCAGATTAGGCCTTGCTACTATTTGCCCTGCTTTGCCACTAGAGTGTATTTGGACAGACATGCTCTCCAACTTTGGCCACTCAGGACACCAAGCGAAGCACTATGCCTGCATCGAGAGGATGGAAGGTTACTGCAGCTGGTATAGAGGATGGGCGCCTCCAGATAAAACGATAATCAATGCCACAGATCCTTGAGCACGCTATCCCTTCCTTATCTCCCCTCTCCCTTACTTGTGGCTGATCTTCCTTTGGACACTAACTCTTACCAGATCATGATGATGACAATGAAATTAGTGCCTGTTTTCATGCAAATTTTAGCACTTCGAACACTTAAAGAAAAGGAAAAAAAAAAAGAAAAGAAAAAAGTCTGTGCTACCTTACTGAATTTGTAATCACCTTTTCCATTTTTTGATACCACTCATTTTGACCAGACGACATTTGGGAGCTTACTTTTGCACACCAGAGGGAAAAATGGGAGGGAAAAAGAAAAAGAAAAAAAAAAGATGGAGCTCTTGCTCTCTTACACGTTTCATTAGCTGTAGCAATACAATCTCTATTTTTTTAGGAAAACAAAAATCAAAAAACTATGCCAATTAGGCACTGTTTTCTTCTATGCGCTGGCTTCCCATCACCCCTCCTCATGCACTAAGTGCTGAAAATACGTAGACAAATCTATTTGAAGGAAAACAGGTTTCATTAATCAGATTGGCAAATGAAACTAACTGAAAAGAAGCCCAGCCTAAACTCTGGAAAAAATGACGTCCAAAAGAAATCCTCCTCTATGGGAGAGATTGGCAATGTGATTGACTCCAGCAGTGGGAGAATTCACCTGGTGTGTCTGACCACATCATCTGGTAAAAGCATTGTTGACTGATTGTCCTAGCTAATTCAGTCACAGTGTGAATGCAACAGCACATTTGAAGTTCTGGGTCTCCCCAGAACAAAACAGAGAGTATTTTGTATTTTTGTTGTTGTTTAAAAAAAACAAAAGCCCCATCCCCTATGTTCAGGGAGGTAAATCCACCTACAGCAGAGCAGATGAAATGCTGTGCCATCCTGTTTGGCCCCTGAAATTTTTGCAGCTTAGCTTCACCAGCAAAACCAGCTTGTGAACACCTTAAACCAAACAGATGCAAAAATACCAGCTGTAAATCAATCACATGGAAGAGGGAAAGGGGAGACTTGCTAGAGCTCTTACTATTAAAAAAAAAAAAATCTATTGCCAAAATAGTGTTTTGCTGAACTAAGATGTATATACACATAATGACATAAGCTATTTTTGACAGGACGTGGAATTTTTTTGGTGTTATAAACAAAAGAATGGTTTGATTATGTTTTAAAGACAGAAATATTGACATTCCGAGTCAGTGAGTTGTTTTTAAGATATTGAAGCTCCAGTGTATCTGCAGTAGTGGCTACAGTCATTGTTTCCTCTGTACCTCCTTGCACCACGGTTCCTCCCCTGCAGCTACACTAGCTGCATTTGTTTATATAGTGAAAGGAAGTATGTGTGGGGGCTAGGCAAGGAAGAGTGGTCTCCTAATAAGTGCTGGCTGGGATCATAAAATTTCAGCTGCCCAGAGGATTCCTTCTGTGTCAAGTGCTGTGTTTCCCTCTAGGCACTGTTAAGCATAGCTCTGTGCATGCGCTCATACTATATCCTGCAGTGATGTGGGAGGAGGAGCCTTACTGTCTTGTGCTTTGCTGTTGACTGGAGAAGTTTTTTCGTTCTATTTTGTTTTTTATTAAGAAAACTATAATATAATTTTTCTTATCAAATAAAAGTATTTTAAGTTTTAATGATGGTGAAGAAGGGGTGCTGACAAAATGGGTGACTGAGTTTCGGATGGGGAGGGCTTGGGCAGGGAGAAGATTATGCTTAACTTCATTTTTGTATTATTATGATTATTTATCTTAAGTTTCCATATATCTTCAGTTCATTCCACTTAGAAAGCAGAGCTGCCACCAGCAGGAAAAAGTGTTGCAGTGATTCTAACCTGGGGCAATACAGCATTTTACAGTCAGTGACCTCGATTGCTGGAGTGTTGTTTGGGGCCTCTTTGCCAAATGGCAAGGGTGTCTGAGATGGGCCCTGATGCATATTTACGTTCCTCGCATGCTACCAGAGCTCTGCCAGACGTACATCCCCCGAAATGCCCCATTTACTAGATGAATTGTTGCAGCAAAAAGCACGTAGCTTCATTTTTAACATGAGCTTTAAAGGGCATTTTCAAAGAGTTGATGTAAGAGGTGCCTAGGTCTGCTGTGTATTTTTTTTCCAGCTGCTCTGAGTGGCAACGCAGCACAAAACGCACTGAAAGTCTGTTGGATTCTCCTGTGATTCAGGCTTGGAACACTTTTCAGAAGTCCTCTTCTCTGTGACTACTCCTAAATTATGGGTTGGAGATGAGAGGGAGAGTAGGGTGCTTCACAGCACCCATCATGGGATCAGGTGGTCAGTCAGAAGGTTGCCCCTTTTGGCAGAGAACGGAGTTGGGCTTTGGGCACAGTGGAGCAATCTCTGTTTGAGTTGTGCACGGCTGACAAAATCTCTGAAAGTCACTGAGGGCAGAGTGGAGTCAGCCTCGCCACCCTCACTGTTCACATCGTGTGGAGTCGGCATCGCTGGAGACAGCCTTCCTCATGCTCAAGGCGACTTTGCAAAGCTCACGTCTCTGAGCTGCAGCTACTTGTCACGGCTTTGGAAGGCTAAATGAAAATGCCCCTTGATGCAGTGAAGTGTTGATTTGAAATTTCATTAAACTGCAGCTCTGCATATTTTACCTGTCACTGATTCATTTAGCTAGCTGAGACATCACAGTATTGCACTCAAATTATCGTGAAAATATTTGCGTTCTAATGCTATGAGGACTTGTGTCCCTAAGTAGGATATAATGTAGCTATATGCTTTGTAAACAACAAAACAGCAGATGCATTACCAGAAAATGAAGCGTATTCCCATTTTATATTGCAGATGGTAAAATATTTCTGAGATGCAGACAGCTAGACCGGCAAGAGTTGGGGTTTGGTAGCAAATCTTTCCCCTTGCTGTGTAAAGAAAGAGTTGTCAAGACTTTTAAAAATGTGGAGCCAAAAGGAGGGGGAAGAATCCAGTAAAAATACATTTCTTTTGGGAGGCTTCTTAATTTTGTTTCTGTGCATGCTATCAGGGACATGTATTTCTTGGGCTAAGCTTGTGCTTGCATTAAGAACCTGACTGAAGGCTCCCTTGAACCGGGAGGGAGCCATTAAATGGATTGAACAGGCTCTAAATCAGGCTCAAAGACTTCTTCCTTTCTATCTGCTCTCTTTTCTTCTGTCTTGCTAAGTCACTTCTGCCTGCCAATGGACAAAACTCTCTCCCTCATTACAGCAGGCCATGCAATATACGGGAACACCACGCATGGAGATGTGAGGAGGCAGGTGTGAAGTTCTCCCAAAATGTTAGGCTATGGAGCATACAATGGCTTGCAGCAGCACAAATATCTTCCTGTCACCTCTGACATGCTCCTCACTTGACCCCATAATCTAAGGTCAGAGGAACTGTCAATGGCACAGCTCATGTGAGCACAACATGTGTACAGGATGAGGGCTTCCCCCCGCCCCCATGCTTTAGATGCACCAACATTATTAAAAGTACTTTTTAAAATGCTAGCTCCCTTCTAGACTGTTGCTGTTCGTTTTCTTGTTTATAGATATTTTTCCTTATTTGCTTGAGAGTCTTTTCCCCTTTAAAATTAAAAAAAAAAAAGAAAAAACATATTCAAGGTTTGGGAAAGATTGGATTCAATTTTCCTTTTCCAAAATGGAGCGGGTAGAGAGCAGGAGATGTGTGCATGGAGTACCTTGAATAAAGTCCTGTTGTGGGAGGCTTCTCCCCTCCACTATATGGCACAAAACTACCATTTTAGGCCTAAATTTCCCATGTTTTGAAGAGTTACATCGTCCTTTAGATAGGACTATTCTAAAATCTAAATATATCGCTGTATCCCATTCATACTTGGCTGGAGCGAAAAGCTACCTCAGGGTGATGGGAAACATGCTGTTGTGTTTTTTACGGTAAAGGCTGAAGTAAAGGCCTCCATGGGAACAAGTTTCCATTCTTTCAGATGTCTCTGAAAGTATATCTCACTTACAATGTATTTTATAGCTTGGAAAGGCAGAACAAAATTTAGGGAACTGCAAAAACTCTTTGTCTTTTTTAGAATAAGTGTCTTTTGGGGCTAACAGTCTTGAGAAAAATCTTTAAAATCCACTAAACATTTGCTGCTGCTTTGCCTGTACTGGCTTCTCATTCTTCCTGACACTTTCCTTCCTTCATAGAGCCACTCTGCTGTTCCTGATAGTCATGGAAACTTGGGGAGGGAACCAAACAAGTGTGAAAAATCTTGTCCAGAAGGAATGTATTTGTTGCTAAATTTTCTAGCACTGTTTACAGTTTTCCTCCATGTTATTTATAAATTTTATATTCAGTGAATGTATATTGTCTTTTAAGGTAATGTTGCATAATGTTCACTTTTTATAGTGTCCTTTTATTCTAAACAGTAAAGTGGTTTTATTTCTATCACAGACATTCTGTCTCTGCTTCACTTATATTAGTTTCTGTCCACTTCAAATGTACACAAATGGATTTGCAAGTGGATTTATTCATTTCCTTCCCTTTCTTGATACTGTTTTATTGGGCCCAAAGCAGATATTCCACCTCTGGCAATTTTTGCTCTTTGGCAAAGATCCCTCCAGCAGTCCCTCCCCCTTCTTAAGAAGCTGATCTCTCTAAGAATTGTTATTGGGGTCATAAGCCCAGAAGACGCAAAAAATCCCTTTTGAAGTTAATGTATCCCACTTGTTAACTGGCCATAGGGGGTCACTACAGAACAAGGCGGTCATTATGGCTGTCATGTAGCACCAGTAGGGCCTTAGAAGAACAGTTGCCAGATTGCTCTTATTTCCAGTAAACTGATCACTGCGGGGAGGGTGGAAAGGTACATGCCCATGGCAAAGGGAAGAGAGATTCATCTTTCGGATCTTTTCTGCTGTGACATGTCTGAGCCTGGTGTCCTCTCTTTATGTTTACTGTTCAAGGCTGGTTAAAAATGCCCTGTTGTCATGGGAAGGAAACTTCAGAGAAAAAGTTTTCAACTAAATTAAAAAGCTCGCAAAAATCTCTCTTTTACTTTAGGGAAATCTCTATTCTCTGCAGGGATGAAAGAATGAAACAGATCTTTAAATCTGTTCTATGTTTAATCCAAAGGTTTAAAAAGTAAGCTTTGGAAAGTTTTGGACATAGGAGAATGAGGATCTCTTATGTGAGAACTTCATTGCTTAAAGTATATCA